AAAGTTTTCTAGTGGAGGTTGAGAAAATTCATGGGAACCGCTGCAATCAAACATTATCAGTATAATGTTCAGTCTCACACTTGCCTACCATTTGTCGCCACTGTTTACCCCTGTATTGCTCTCTAATGCTACATTTTTCCCTGGAAATTCCTGGAAATCGTTTCATGTCCACGGGATGTCCACCGCTGCAAGCTCCTTTTCCTTTCCTAGGCTTTGTTTTTTTTGTTGTGTTCTCTTAAATCCTTTCTAATTCAAGTCACGCTGCTCGCAGCTATGTTCAATTCGACCTTTCCAAAACCTAATGATAAAAAAATTCGAGTATTGCAGGTATTTGCGCACTCGGTGCGAAAGGAGGATTGGAAACAAGATTTCAGTTCAAGTATTGCCGCAAAGACAGCGCTGCCAGACTTTTACGAGAATGAGGTATATTTCCGAGCTAAATATTCTTTTTTCTTGTTTCTTTCATGTACCAGTGTTTTAATAATAATGGGATAAGATTCTATAATATATACTTTGCATGCAATCAAGATTTCTTAAATTCGTTATGGTCAAGGTGTTCGATTGTTTATCTGCTGTGAGAGACGCACTTTCTACTTCTGGATATCCGAACGAGGCCTGCTTATTTTCTCGTGAACGGTTTCGAAGTACTTTAGTCGATATCTTTGTCCATTTGCTAACGGCCATCAGGCATTGTTTTGACAGGTGTGTCCTTTTTATCCTATGAGCTCATTCAATAAAGTTCTATTCGATTGGGTAATCTAGCGGCCAGGAATATTTTTCGAAGGAGATTCTTCGTGTTCGCTTTAAGGTTACTTAATTTGCGGGCAGATCTAAAGAAACCTCAGGATCTTGACCTCAATCGCAAGGACGAGGAAAAAAGTCATGTAAGTCACCCTTGCGATATCACCTCATTCTGGTAGTGTTGCTTTGTCATAGTGAATGCTTTGTAGCTCACAACGAAGAAATTGCTCATTAGCATTTGCAATTTGGAGTTCATATTGGAAACCGCGTTGAAAAACATTAGCCGACGTTTGCTCGATTGTGGTGTGAAGTATGCGGATGAGGTATACGAGGTAGTTTTTTTTTTGATAAATATCACCCTCAATGCTGTCATTTCTTTTTTCATGAAGTAATAAGAGGTCATCTACTTCTTCTTGTCTGCTGCTGTTTTTTTACTAGAATTTCCAATTTATCATACATTATGTTGGTTTCTTTCATCTGTCACCATTTTATTGTTTGCGACGAACATTCCCATTGGCCGATGTCAGACTTTGCGATTGGAGCGTGCGTTGACTGAGGAGCTGCGCTAGGCTATCTGTTACGTATCGATCGAGGGGGCGCGCCAGCGATTGATCGCTCCTTGCCACAACGGCCTGTGAACCGCACAACGGGAGCGATATCGCCCCCCGCGCGATTAGCGCGATGGTCGCGCGATTCACATTACTCCCATCTTGACCAAATCGCTTCAATCGCTAAGTCTGACATCGGCCATTGGAGCCAAAATGCTACGCAACGACGAAAATTAAGCAGATCATGGCGTCATGTAAATTAGCGCCTGCCTCAACAATCTGAGTCACTTGACCTTCTTCTCTATCTAGTTGAGCCCTAAACCACAGGTTTTTGGGGTTCACCATGAACACAACTTGGCTTGTTTTACGTATACCGGTTTTTGGCACTTGAGTTTTAGCACCATAATGTCACCGGTTTTGCGCGTTTCTTCGTCCTGCCAATCTTTGAAAATGTTGATGATCCTTTCAACAAAAGAAGTATGCGAAATTGTGTGTCGTTAAGCACACCTACTTGATGCCTACTCAGCGCGGCTTTCCCCCCACTTCTACGTAAGTGTGTGCTATGAGTTGGGCATTGATGTCTTTCAAATCACGGAGAGCCTGTTACAGCTGTCGACTGCTTGCTTTGCGGGTGTCGCGAAATTCGGCATGCAACAAGCGTGTTTTCCTCATTTCAGCAGATTGAATGCAAAGGAAGTTGGCGGATTACTGATCTGTTACAATTGAGTTCTTATATAGAGTTTCCTCGTTCGAATGATAGACCAGGAGCATCTACTTGACTAAAGCGCTTCGTCTGTCGTCTGTCGTTCTTCTGTATGTCTGTCACGAAATTCCTAGCTCCTGGAGGGACCGGGTCAAGTGGGGGACGGGGGGCAAGGTCTCACGAAGTACAAAACACACATCAGCTAAGCGGAGCCCCGCCCACAGTGGGCGTGGCGTGCGTCGACATGAAGTGTACTGACGACCGAGATTTCAATTCTTCAGAAAACGACCTCGAAACTGGGCCAAAAAGTGGGTAAAGGTGTGCATTGGTAAGTCACATCGAATTAGGGAGACCCACCCCCGGTGGGCGGGGCGTTCTCCAAAAAAGCAGTGCTTTATGAAAAATTTCATAACTCGGTTGGGAGAAAGCCTACAGAGCAGAAAACAAATTGGTGTAGGGGAGCAATGTCTAAGGTGTTTCCCATACATGACGTGGGCGGAGGCCCGCCCAGAATGGGCGGGGCGCGCTCTGAAGTGTACAGCATTTTCTACAAGTCCTCATAATTCGGGTCGGGGAAGTCTTAAAGAGCCGGAAAAAGGTGGATAGAGGTGTATGGAGGAGTGGAGGCCAGCTGTCAATGGTGGGCGGGGCTTGACCAAAGTGGGCGGAGTTTGCGACGAAAATTCATAACTCGGCTCCAAGAAGTCCCGGAGGCCGGGAAAAAGGTGGATGGAGGTGGGTGGAGGAGTGGAGGCCAGCTGTCATCGGTGGGCGGGGCTTGACCAAAGTGGGCGGAGTTTGCCAAAGGGTCGCAGTTCGGTTCCAAGAAGTCCTAGAGATAGGGGAAAACGGGGTCAGAGGTTGGCGATGGCGATAAGGAGGGCAGGACTGCTTATTAAGTTGGGCGGCAGTTGCCGATAAGTTGTCCGTAATTGTTAGCCGTTTCCAAGAGGTCCGGGGTAAAAAGGGGTAGAGAGGTCGGCGAAAGGAAGGGGGCCAAATGCTATTGGTGGGCGGGGCACGCACCGAAGTAGGCGGAGTTTGCCACGAGATTTATTGTCCGGAAGCAGTCCGGAGACCGGGAAAAAGAGGATAATGGTTGACGAAGAAAAAGAGGTTGAAAGCCGTCGATGATGGAGCGGATAGAATTTAGCTGAGAATTCAGATATTCGTGGTGTATCAAGCCAAATTTGAAATTTTTCGCGCACCATCGTGGGTGGAAATTCGCTGCAATCACCTGGGAAATTATCACAGTAATCTAATAGTACGTCTCTCTACAAACTCTATCTATTCTATACTGACCCACCGCTGCCAGGTCTCCAACCTGTGTCTATGAGTATATGCTTGAAAGACTCAGTTCCTTGGCACCTTCTTCCTTCCTTATATATCTATCCTTTGACACCTTTCTCTAAGGATATTCTCTTTTTGTAACTCACTGCATCATGTTGGATTGAAGTTCCTTTTGACGTAGTGAGTTAGTATCGTGACGTTCATCAAGTGAGTCCTGTTGATTGGCCCCTCCATTCATGTTTCTACAATTTTTTTTTGATATTTCTTCTTTCCAGAAGTCGAAGTCCAAGTTGTCAATGTACAGGAAGACTCTTGTCCGGTGCTACATTATGATCAAGAGCAGCGCTTTCACGTCTCTGATAGACTCTGCTAACTACGAGTTTATACCCGATGACGGTGAGCTGTAATTTTTAACACCTGTTTCAAGACATATTTTCCGTCCGGTAATAAGGATATGTGTCATCATATAAAACCGTCGTGCGCATAGATGTGTCGGATTATGCGAAAGAAATAATGATGTGTTGCGTTCTACAACAAGCTGAATTGGAACTATGCGCTCCTCAGTTAACTTCACAATGTCTGCAGGTATAAATATTTTGATATTGGGAATGAGGCGGAAGCTCTACATTTAGGCTCGCATTAGAATCTATATTCGTGTTTTAAGGCTACTGTACAAGCGGCTTTCGACAACTTATTAGACCACTTGGAAGCACGCGAACCAGCTTCTGAACGTGAAGTTACTCAGAGAGTTATTGATATCTGCGCTCTAGAGCAGGCACTAGGAGGCTTCACCAGTCTGGAAACTAGGTAAGTGGAAAAGTTTTGTTGCCTTATGTTGCCAGACTATTTCAATATATGCCCGATTTCTCTGAAAGGCACGGGAATCTAGTAATCGCAATTGGATTTGGGTATGCACCCTATTGCATTTAAATACATATGTCCATATTTCCATTCTTCAGGACCCATGTCAATGCGTATCGCGCTGGCCTGGTCGGTCAACTTGATCAGAGGTGAGTTGATCCTTCTGAAGGTATTGTATTTTTGATGAATTCTAACCGCAATGTTTTGACAGCTGTCACCAAAATCGACCCTTCATGCTGACTAATCTATTTACGTTACGCTAAATCGTGCAATTCCGTAAAAGAGTTACGGATGAGTATATCATTCAAACGTTTTCACACATTTTGCTTCCAAATTCCGAAAGGAAATTCTGAAAGACAAGAGCAAATAAAGTAATACCTCTCTAGAATTTGATTTCGTTTCTTCCTTAGCCAGAAAGCTTCAACTATGCCTCAACAACATGCGTTCATCGATGCGTATGGCTATCGAAAGCTTAGAAGGAGGGGCAGAGGACGATCTGAACACGTCAAATATCTAAGACTTCATTTAGTACTCCGTTGATTATATACATAGGTGCCTGAATTTATCTCATAATACGATTTGTAAGTTGACGAAAGAGTCCGCTGAATGCTTTCAGTCTGAACTTCGCTTCTGTGCCACAGCTTATGCTGCATTATTT